CAGCACCACCAAAAAATGAAAATTAAAAGCAAAAATCTCTTTTTCAAAAAATGTGTTCTTTATACAAATACTTTAGAGTATGTCTATGCTTATCTGCAGAAGACATTTCTTTTATTACAGTATGTAAATTAAAAACATATAACCTCTCACAAAAAAGTAATCAATGCCCAATTTCACAGAAGGCTGTACATTTTGTCCTGACGCAGTAGGGCTTGTAAAAACATGCATAAAACTTCCCTATAAAGATTGCAGGCTAGTTTAGTAGCTTTGTCATTAAATGAGCATCCAGCAGAATGATCTTATATTTTTTAAACATTGTCAGGAAAAATTGGCCTAACAAGCATCCTTTTGGTGAAATTAGGACACCAACTTTAAAAACATGAAGTTACTATTGTTCCTATGGACCAAGATAAACTTCAACAATAAATATTTCAAAAACCTGAAAGACATAAATTACCATGCTATAAAAATTCAGCCAATCATTCAGAAGAAATGGGATCATGATATTTTATACGGCCACTTTTATTACAATACAATTACTACTAGCTTTAAAAGTAATGTTTTACTTTCCTTAATTTGAAATTGAAGAAAGAAAATATTTCAGTGGCCATTAGTAAACAGCTCAGGAACAAAGACTTTAGGAACAGGAAAAGAGAAAAGAGGTGACCGAGGGCCACCCTTGCTTACAATAGAGATGACTGGACCAATAAGTAGTGGCTGTTGGTGGAGATGCTGGCTGTGTGGCAGCCTCCAGGACACCTGAAGTGTTTTGCATTTGGTGAACAAATGCAATCAGATATCCCAAGACCTTTAACATGGTTACTCATGTTAAACATATTTCAGGCTTATGTTGAATCTTTTTTTACTGGCATATATTAATCATCCAAAGAGGTTTCATTGTGACATACATGTATATAATGTGCTTTGATCAATTCACCCTTTCGTTACTATTTCTTATCCTCCTTCCCCTGCTTTTAATGGACGTATTAGCCTATTTTCATACACACATGTAAGGTACTTTGGTTACTCTCTTCCTTCTCTCTCTCCCTTCTCTATGGTTCCATTCCCCACCCCCCAAAAATATCCCCCTTCTACACTAGTGTCATTTTTTTAAAGATCAAGATTCTAAATCTTAAAGGTGATGGACTGCATTCTTCTGGTCGATGTGACACTTAGAAATTCCACTGAGACACATAGGTGTAGGAACTTTTTATTGTTATCACTTGTGCTCTCCTGTTCCAGGGTACAGCCCACTTTCCAGTTCATTCATATGTCAATATGACCCAGAAAATGCCAAGGCTGATCATGGGGTTGTAAGTGACTCCCAGCTGACAGCCCTCTCTCTAGCTGCACTCTTGCACACTCAGTGCTGAGCCAAAATCTTCCACCCCACCTTCCAAATATTCACAGCTGATTTTGTGCTGTTCTTTTTCCCCATGTCTTCTCTAATAGCCACAATGCCTGCTCTCTGCTCTTAGGACTAAATCCTTTTCCTGGAGACTAGACTATGTTCCTGAATGCTTAAGAACAAACCCTTTCCCTCAGCTCTACTTCACCTTCCTTGCTTCCTTTCTCCCTTCACCTGTCCTGATGGTCAGTGCCAGAACAACACTTTACATGGCAGCATCCCTTAGACACCATGCCTTGTCCCACTGGCTGAGTCACCACTGATAGGTCTGATGTAATTCAGGTCTCATCAATCCCCACCTCCCCACCCCAATTGTAATCCTCCAGTCCCAGCTCCTCAAGCAAATTAGAAAGGATGTCATCCAATGTAGGAACGTCTTCTGCATCATGGAGTGATGGAGACCAGAAGGGACCTCACGTGTCTATCATCTAAGCCAATCCCTTCATTTTACAACTGAAGAAAGCAAGGCCCAGATAATGAAAGACACTTGCCCAGGTGTCTACACGGCATCAAGGAAGGGACAAGCCAAGAGCTCATTATTTTTGATTCCTTAGCTCACTGCTCTCTCTTGTACCATGTGCCTTAGCCTCTCTGACAGCCTCATTCTGAAAACTTCTATTGACCCAGAGTTTACTAATCAAGAGAAAGAAAAATCTATTGTCAAATATCTTTAATTATCAGATGGTCTTTCTTATTCTGAGCCAAAATCTTCCTTTAAGATCTTCTTGGTATTCTTGTTGTAAATATCACAATAAAGCCCCTTTATAAAATTAATTTATGTTAATTTTTTTTAATCTTGGGAAAATGGCAGAATAGGAAGCCCTAGACCTTCCTTCCTCCCACTGACACCAATTCAACAGCAAATGTCAATCTTCGCCACCTTGAGAAGCTCCTGCAGAGGGTAAATGCAAAATAAAGGATATCAAACCCAAGAGAACAGTGCAGGATACCCTCTGGCCGAAAGCCCTGGGCACAGTGTCATGCAGTTGGGAGAAAACCCCAGCTGTCCTCTGGAGTGAGAAGGAAAGACAGAACCATACAGCCAATGCTCTGATGTCTGGGTCCTGTATGAGTCACTGGCTTCTGTGTCATCTGTGGCTGAGCAGTGACAAGCCAGCATACTACACACAAGAGAACAAAGACTGGAGTCTGTAATGGCAAGCTAGCTCATGGCACAGCCCCAACCCAGCTCAGTGCAAAGTGAGTGGGTAGAAAACAATGTCCTCACGTCAATGTTCGGATTTATGCTGGGGCCAGCCCAGGGTACCAATTTCTCTCTACCTGCCATAGAACATCAGTGTGATCTGGCATACACTACTTGACCTTCCAAACCACACAGGATAATTTCTCTGCTTAAAAAAAATGCAGGTTACTTTGTCTAAACTTAAAAAAAAAAAACCTCTGTAATAAAAATAAGTCAGAAATGATATATCCCTTCAACAAATTCTTGAGCTACTTAAAATATACTGACTGCTGTGTCAACAAGGTTACAAAGGCATATGGGATTTGGTCCCTTCTCTCAAGTTCATGGGGTTCTAATGAAAACACACAACATCATGATGCAGTGGTAGCTTCTAAGGTGCATAGAAGGTTGCACCTTCTAAGGAGCTGCTAACTCAAGAGAGGGTGTTCTAAGGAGACCAATTAGGAAGCCATGTGTGTCACCTGGAAAAAAAAAAAAAAGGTCCAGCTTGTCAATGGACTGGGATCTGTGTCAGGGAAGTCTCAGTGTGTCAATGTGGGAGATAAGCCAGTTAGTTGACTGCTTCTATCGAAGAGCAAATGAGAGGGACTGCTTTGGAATGAAGCAGTATTCCTAGAGCCCATCCAGGGAAAAGATGCAGGAGGGTTGCCAGGGACCAACCACAACAGAGACAGCCTGGGCTCACCCTAAGTCTTGTCCAAGAGTATCATCAAGAGGGCTGAGCAGTCCTCAGCAGAGGTACTGCCAAAAGCTAACGTTAAGTGAACAGCCAAGAAAGTGCTATTTTACCCTCATCAAGAGAACATACAAGAGTGGTACGCAACTATGGGAGCAACGAGTCTCCAAAGAACACCCAAAAGTGCCCACAAGAAACAGGATCAGTTTTTCTCCCATCTCCTAAGACCAGAAGGAGTACTGACCACCACGAAGATACCCACCAAGAAAGAATTTCCATGTTCCTCCTGCCTCTCCTGTCTTCACCTTGGAGATACCAGCAACCTCCATGAGCAAGAAGAGGGAAGTGGACTAGCAGTTCTTGGTGTGGAAAGAAAGGACAGCCCCAGCATCTTCCTCCAAGTACAGGCCTCCTGTTTGCCACATACCTGTGGGGAACACAGGACAAGTGTGACCTATCACCTGTAATGAAGACAGGCAAACTGTTAGAGAAGCACGGAGTGAAAATCATTAATTTCCTCGGAGAATTAAGTGTGGCTTACAGAGCAGTAACTCAAGGTTTTAAAGAAGACTAGACATTTTCCAAATTGGTACATTCCAGCTCAGAGAACATCACCAGTCAAGGTGGAGGCTCATAAATGCATGCCGTTTTAGGTGTGTTGTGAGCTGTTTGGTGCAACAGGAAAACAGAATAACATGGGGTGTGGTTCCAGATGATTCAGGGGAAAAAATGGAGTCAGCTCAAATTATGACAGGCCTTGGGCTATGGTAAAATCTAGTAAAATATTCCTCAGCATTTACAACCTCTTAAACTATATCCTGAGTAAATAATGCTTGTTAAACCTGATTTCTACATTCCACACTTTTAATTTTAACTCAGATATGCTTCTTCATTACAATGTTTATTTAAAAAAAGCCATCCCTGTAACTTTGATTTTCCATTTTATGATCAAGGGTCATTCCTCCATCATAATTATTTACCTTTAAATGTCACAGCCCAAAGAAAAACATTTATTTCAAAATCATTTTAATGACAGTATCTTCATAGTGTAACAGCTAACCCTTGTTATACAGGCTACTTTTTAGAACAGAGTGAGCTAAATGTATCTGCTTGGCTGAATCTTAATGTTCTGATTGTCAAACTTTTGCTCTTTTTAGAAGCACATTTCCTAAAGCATGGCCCCTGCCCCAGCCTCCATCTTCTTTCTCGAGAGATACTTCCCTGCCTCTGGGGGGTACCATCTCCAGCATCTCAACTAACAGAATTCCACCTCCTCCCAGATTTCTGTCTGTCCCTGGGGGTCAGCAAATGTCATAAGAATAGGCTCAGCAGCTGTTCCCAGATTCAGAACCCTGGCTCACTATCCCTCAACACACAGAGCAGTTTCTCCAGAGGAAATGACTCCTCCCCCTTCCCCATCATCTTTTCCAAATGGTGGCTGAGTTGCCTGGGTAACAGCTGTCTGGCCAGTCATCTGCTCATTTGAATGGAGCTCAAATGCATTTTACCTCCCAGGACTTTCTGAAGTCAAAGTCATGGCATGTCACTTTGACCCAGCCCTTGTTTTCTCTCCCAGAGTTACCTATTGAGCAGGACCCGTGGGCTCTGTCAGGTTGAACAATTGTGACAAGTAGCCAGGTTCACACAGGGCCAGAGGAGACGGTACACCTGGGAGGCTGAAGCATTCTTGGTTTGTTCCTCTGCCTCCCTAGAGCCTTCTGTGTATTTTGGAGACACTGAATACCACGTTGATGAAAGTGCCGGCTACGTGGAGGTGTGCGTGTGGAGGGCAGGCACTGACCTTTCCCAAGCATCATCTGTCACCGTGCGCTCCAGGAGGACAAAGCAGAAGCCAGCAGCAGGTGAGAGAGCTATGGAAAGGATTTGCACAGATGGGGGACCTGGTCTATCAGGTGCAGCTTGTCTTTGTTGACAAGCTCTGACTTAAACACTTGGGTGCCTCGTCTGTGTAACGACCTGTACAGCTTACAAAATAAGTAGAAATTCAGACAGTGGCTTTTATGATTCTCATTACCCACTTGCCTGCTGTGGGTTCAGATTAATTTTCCCAAGTTCAAGTTCAAAATATTTGTAGCTACCTTAAGCTGCTCATAAACAGTAATTCGGATGGAGGAAGCCATAATGGCAGAGCAAGTCCCAACTCCTGGAAGGAGGCTTTCTCCTGACTCAGCATTTTCCCTGGCTCTCGTGTCCCCCTCACTTTTGTGTTTCCTACATGGGTGTTGAAGGCCTAGCTGTCAGCAGGGCTGGACAAGTCTGGATACATTTCCTCTTGAGGGCCTGTCTGTTGTTTTACCATAAAAATTAAGAACAGTAGGACCCAAAAGGAAGAGATGGGGACATCTGCATCTACATCTTTTCACTTGCTACTGGGACCTTTCAGTCTCCTGGGATACGCAGCCAACATGGCTCCAAGCCAGCATCCTATACCTCCAAGTCCCGTGGAAATATTTTAATATAAAACCAAAATTCCCTACAAATAAAAGCCAACAATATAAAAATCTAGCCCCCTGGTGCTTACCACAGGCTGTGTTCTTGCACTGACTATACAGAAAGAGGAGGGAAAGTAAACCCACTCCATATGCACCTCAGCCCAGGCCCTGTGCCTGGTCTGTATGGTGAGTGAGCAGACACTTGTTAATCTGCAGTAACTAATGAGGCATAAGGAGAGCAAAATGCACATTTATCAATGAAAATGTGAACCCAGTTTCGTCATATACCCAGAAACAGGTAAATAAACACACCATTTTGATTATTCTTGGAATAAGTGACAGGTTATAATGCTTCAGTGAATCTAGACATGATATTGTATGTGAGACCAGTAAAAGCAGTCATGATTCTTACAAGTTCCTTTTCTTTCCTTCTTTCTTGTTCTAATTTTCAGAAAGGGTCATTTCTTGTTCTGTATATACCCATGAAACCAAGAGTGAATAGACTACTGGATTTTTTTTTTTTTTTTTGCTTTTACTTAGGAAAAGAAATTTAAATTCACTTAGATAAACCACTTTGCATAAAAAAGTAATGCCATCTCTGCTAGCCCTCAGGTAGAATGAGTGTCCTCACTTGTGGTTGTGATTCACGGGTTACAGTTCAGACTTGGACAATGCATCGAGCCTTGTAAATACTTGACATGTGCTCAAGTTGGTTTAGTTAACAATACTAATTTTTCATAAACTTATAATGTGTAACTTATTACATTAATAATAATTACAATCTTTCTGTACTAGTGCCTACAATTTGAAGATACCAAGCTACCGTCTTTGCTATATTATTTCTAATATTCACAATGACCTGGTAAGGCAGATGTACTTTGCATTTTGCAGCCGAAGAAACTGAGACTCAATGAAATTAAATAATTTATACAACTAAGTGATGAACCAAAATTTGAACCAAAATGTGGAAGATACAAAACCCACTTTCCTTTACTCTCTTGCTTTGTACCTTTTGTTTTCTATTAATGTCTTTTTTTTTCTACTAATGTCACTATTTGATGTCTTTGAAACAATCTCAGACTTACAGAAAAGCACCTAGTACAGTGAGCCCTTTTTATCCCCCTTAACCATTGAGAATAAGCTGCCATTAAGTTTGAAACAACTACTCCAAAAACTCAAAGTGAAATTCCTACAGAAGTGCTCTCCTGTATTACCATAGTACACACATAAAATCAGGAAACTCTGATTGATTTCTACAATCCTTAGACTTTAGTTCCACCAATTGTCCCCAAGTCATTTTCTTTTTTATGGGACTCGGTTTGAACTTGGGACTCCACACTTGCAAAAGCAGGTGCTTTACCGCTTGAACCACACCTGGAGGTGTTATTTTGGAGATGGGGGTCTCATGAACTATTTTCCCAGGCTGGCCTCAAACCACAATCCTCCCGATCTCAGTCTCCCAAGTAGCTAGGATTACAGGTGTGAGCCATTGGCACCTGGCTCCCAAGTCATTCTTCATATTAAAAGAATCTAGTTCAGAATCACACACAGTATTAGGTTATCATTTCTGCTTTCATTCGCAACAATCTAGAAGAGTGCTTGTTCCTTTCCTGACTTCATCAACTTGTCTTTTTTTTTTCTTTCTTTCCTTTTTTCAATACTGGGGATTGAACCCAGGGCTTCCTACAGGCATTCTACCACTTGAGTTACAGCGTCAGCCCTTTTCTCTTTGAGATAGGGTCCCACTAACTTTGCCCAGATAGTCTTGAACTCCAGTCTTCCTGCCTCTGCCTCCCAAGTAGCTGGAATTACAGGTGTGCACCACAACACCTAGTAGCTTCAACTTGACATTTCTGAAGATGATAAGTCAATCTTTCTAGAATATGGAATGTTCCCTCAATTTGGGCTTTTCTGCTGTTTCCTCATAATTAGATTCAGATTATGCATCTCTATCAAAAGGTACATAATTTCCATTCATCCTATTATTGGCAGTAACCTTTGGTTACTTGGTTACCTTGGCATCTGCCTGCTTTCCTCACTATAAAGTTTCTTTTTCCTCTTTCTTCCTTCCTTCCTTCTTTTCTTCATTCCTTCCTTTTTTCTTCCTTCCTTTCTTTCTTTACTATAGTTTCTTTTGTTTTTTTCCCTTCCTTCCTCCCTCCCTTCCATTCTTTCTTTCTTCACTAATTTCTTTTTCCTTACTTCTTTCCTTCTTTCCTTCCTTCCTTCCTTCCTTTCCTTCCCTTTCTTTTATCTCACCATACTGAAGTTTGAACTCAGGGCCTCATGCTTGCTAGACAGGTGCTCTATAACTTGATTTACTCTATCAGCCCTTTTTTGTGTTGGGTATTTTTGAGATAGGGTCTTCAAACCTCTGACTTCTGGGAAGCTAGGATTACGTAAAAGCACAGAGTAACTTACTTTCCTTGTCAGTAGGAAGTATTTTATGGATAGATATCCTGAGAGAATGCAAATATTCTGTTCCTCAAATTATTTATGCGTTTTGCCACATGGAGGTGTTATTTTATTGCATTGGTTATCATTGTCACTGTCATGACATGTAATGACTTTTGCAAGAAGCAGTCAAGAATCTATACTGTCAGGCATGCCGGTTGGCAAAAACGATTGCTAACAACCCAGAGAACAGCAGAAACTTCATGGCTGAGTAAAACTGAGCCGAATGTTGTACAATTAAACTGTTATGCAGCAAAGGTGAATGTGTGAAGCTGAATCAAAATTAACTTCATAGAGCTAGAGAAGTGGCTCAAGCGGCAGAGCACCTGCCTAGCAAGAATAAAGCTCTGAGTTCAAACCCCCAGTACTGCCAAAAAACCAAAATCCATAGCAAAATAAAATCAATGATAATTATCTTGAAAATTAAAAATAACAAAGGTAAATCATGTCATTTCAAATTGACACTGACTTCAGAGAGAGTTGTGTGTGATCTGTGGTACCTTTGTGGAAGTGACTAGAAGGTGACACACCTGTCTGGCGAGAATGGCACATGGGCCCGGGATAAGGGGCTGCATGGCACTTGGGAGGACGTGGAAACTCCCCCGTTCTGGTGCACACAGCACGTGATTCTGACAGTGCTAAGTACAAAGAACGCTGCAGAGTTGATACCACGACTCCTTTTACTGTGAAATAAAAACCTTCCCCAGTGAAGTCCACAGTCTCACTCTGCTTTTCCCTCTGCCCCCAGCTGGAATAGATTATGTTGGCATCAACCAGAATCTGGACTTTGCCCCAGGAGTTCGAAAGCAGACATTCCAAGTGACAATCCTTGACGACCTGGGACAGCCCATTCCGGAGGGTCCAGAGAGCTTTGAATTACTTCTCCAAGTACCTACGGGCTCAGTGCTTGGGGAACCAAATAAAACCATCGTTATCATCAAGGACTCCATCACCGACTGTAAACAGTGCTTGTAGTTCCTTGGACTGAAAGACTTTAGGGGGAACAAGCCGTGAACTCGTCTCCCAACCGCAGGCTGAAGCTCCACTGCTTCTAGAGTTAGCAAGGGTGGGGTGGCGATTACCTTGTACTGTCATAGGTGTTTTGTCAACTAGTGTCTTGTGACTGCATGGGGATGGAAACATACACTCACAGACGGGATGGAATCCGCAACATGACGCTGTGCTCTTGTTATCCTGTTTGTTTTCTTTTATTTTTGTCTCTAAGGCCAGTAAAACCCATCATGATCAATTAAATCAACAGTTGATATTAAAAGACCAACCTCTCTTTACTGACGGACGCTGGACATGCAAGCACACGTCTAACATTTTGACTTCTAACATTATTTGGTGGGTGTGCCCTAACAAATTTTCAAATAAGTCCAAAGCCCCCTTTTGCCATTTGTGTGATCTCTCCCCACAAGCCTTTGTCAGAGCCACTCAGGTAAGAAATCCTTTCATTGCTCTCCCTTCTTTTGCACTCCACTCTTTTAGAAGAAGGAAAGTAAATAGTGGGCTGGTTGGTGGAGTGGCTCAAGTGGTAGAGCATCTACCTGGTAAGTGCAAGGACCTGAGTTCAAACCCCAGTGCCACGAAAAAAAAAAAAAGAAAAGAAAAGAAAGAGTAAAGTGATAAAAATTAAGTAGCAGAAATTACAAGAAACAAAACTTCAAGACTAACATAGTCCCAAACTGTCCAATAATTTCTTAACTAATTTCAATTTGACGATAATCATAGCCACTAGGCTTGCTATCATCGTATAAAGGAAAGTCTCCAATTTACTTTGAAACCACATCTTCATGCTCCATCATTAACTTTTAGGTATTTCTTGTGAGAACCTTTCTTAAATCTGTGTTTCAGACATTGCTTGACCTATTCCCGAGCTAACATTTGACAAATAGAAGCCATTGCAAAAGACTTGTCCAGGAGCTGGCTGAGTGGCTTGCATGGTAGAGCTTAAGTGACTTAAGTGGTAGAGTGAGGCTGTAAGTTCAAATCTCTCTCAAAAAAAGTCTTCCTTCCAAATCTGGAGTAAGAGGACTCTAGACTGAGAAACATTGCACGCAGATAAGCTGAGATGAACTTGTCTGCCATCCACAGAACTGTGCCTCTGTGCCGCATGTCACTTTTCCCAATTAAAGATTCTTCAAAGTTACCTTGTAATTCTGAACTGCTCCTCTCCCACTGGACTCAGTTTCCGGAATCCCTTTCAGTTCTGTCTGACTCCTCTCTGAGAACATATCCATCAAGAGGTCATCCTCCCTCTCCTTGCAATTTGCCCCACGACAAGGGTCAAAAACCCTCTAAAACTCAATTAAATTCAACAAATATTTATCAGAATTCTTCTACAGGTCAGAGAGATACAGACCCTTCCCAAATATTAGCCAAGATAATGGAGAAACTACACACGAGCCTGATACCTGTCAGGTGTACCCTAACAGGCCCCACAGACACAGGGGTCGTGAACTTGCTGCTGAGAACCTGTGCCCAAGGGGGGTTCACATTGTCAGCCTTTTGGGGAAAGTCAGAGAGGACTCCGTGTTAAACCTAAAGTTAATCTTTCTCTTTCAGTGCTTTTCAGAAAATCACTTTTTCTCTCTGTCACTCTTTCTGTCTCGGGTATCTTTGGCTAAGGAACTACATGCAGATGAATGTGCTGTTTGGCATTCATCTTGTTTTTTCTGGAAATGTTACAAACAATGCTTTCTGTAAAGTCAAGTCTGTTCCATTCTCAACTTCCTCCTACTAATACATGTCAAGAAAGCAAAACTATGGTCTTTAGGCTTCTCGGATAAAACGTAGTATATTCTAAATATGATCGGTGGTGTATTCTGTAGTTGAGTCATGAAAGTAAATTACTGGTCTGAAAAAGTAAAACTGCCTGACTTTGGTAGAGCCAAGACTTTGGTGCAAGGCCATGGGTTTGATCTCTGACATCACAAGAAAACAACACAAAACAAAAAGCCTAATTTCCTGCCAAGAATGGAATTGTATATGATGGAAAATGAGTTTATTTGTCCCAGCCTGTATTTTCTTTTCTTTCTTTTTTTTTTTTTTTTTGTGGAACTGTGGTTTGAACTCAGGGCTCTGCACTTACAAAGAAGGCACTCTACTGCTTGAGCCACAACTCCAGTTCATTTGTCATTCCTTATACACTCCTCCCTTTTTTTGCTTCTTCAGTGCTGGAGATGCAGCCCAGGGCCCTGGCCGTGCAGGTACACTCTTCCCCTATGCTAACATTTTATAGAAAGAATATTAAGCATTTTTTCTCATTTATTCCTTCAGTTTTTCTTGGAGAGTTAGCAGGTATAATGGAGGTTTACAAAATGTCCATGGTGTTGCTGGGTAGATTCTAAATGGGAAGGTATTGCAAGCTTTATCCCAGATGCAGGGCCCAATTTAAGGAGCCCAGTACCAAGGTGAATGAAAATGGTGGACAGCTAAGGACAGCCACTCACCAGTGCAAAGACAATAGCGTGGGTCCTCAGGGCTCAGCTTGTCCTGTCAAGGCTCAGCCTAGGTGACAGGCTTTCCGGAGCATCCCAATATTGATGACCCTACAACTGGCTTTCTGCCAGGTGTAGATTATAAAACTTGTGTGACACTAAGGCACAAGAATTCTGCTGCTCCTAGCCTTACTTATTGTAATGTAATAAACAACCCAATTTCCAGAAAATGACTAATTGAATTATGGAATATCCACTTGTGGTCCCTTCAGAAATGTTAACGCTGGCTTTGGAAAAATGAAGAGGTTTAAGGAGATCACCAAAACTCAGTATAAGAAAAGAGAAAACAAAAAAGTAAGTGGAGTTCTGAAACTGGGTATCAGCAAATGTGTCTCTAAGCATGATGGGATGGGGACCAGCAAACTAAACAAAGTAGAATCTGTCAGGTGTAGCAAGCTGACTAACAGTCCCCAGAGAGCTCAGGGCCTGGTCCTTGTCACCTGTGAATTTTACCTTCTATGAAAAAACATCTCTGTAGATACGGGTAAGATTCTAGAGGTGGGAAGGTAATCGTGGGTGGGCCCTGGATGTCATCACAAGTGCCCTTATAAGAGGGGGCCAGATGGAACCCACACACAGAAGAGGAGACAGCAGTGTGACCCTGAAGGCAGCAACTAGAGTGACAGGGTCCCACACTGAGGAAGGTCAGCAGCCAACAGAAGCTAGCAGAGGCAAGAAATGGATTCTCCTGTCGAGCCTTCAGAAGGAGTGCAGCCCTGCAATGCACTGACTTCACCCCGGTGATACTACTTTTGGATTTCTGGCCTCCAGAACTGTAAGAGAGTAAAGTTTCCTTGTTTTGAGCCATCAAGTTTGTGAGAATTTGTTATAGCAGCCATAGAAAACTCATACTACCAGAGTTTGTTGGTGTTGGCAAGGAAGTGTGGTGAGGGAAACTAGAAAGCACACACAGAGCTCAGACTTCCCCCAGCTTTGTGCTGAGGGAGCTTTGTGCAGTCAAGGCCCTGACCCTAACACATTACTCAGGCCATTTCACAGGGGCATTGCTTGCAAGGACATCATCGGATACACCAGGTCGTGACAGCTGTGTGAATTCCAACCTGGGCTTCAGGAAACCTGTATTTAAAAAGCACTGTGGGTCTTGGGGATATACCCAAAAGACTGTGACACAGGTTACTCCAGAGGCACCTGCACACCCATGTTTATTGCGGCACTATTCACAATAGCCAAGTTATGGAAACAGCCAAGATGCCCCACTACTGACGAATGGATTAAGAAAATGTGGTATCTATACCAATGGAATTTTATGCAGCCATGAAGAAGAATGAAATGTTATCATTCGCTGGTAAATGGATGGAATTGGAGAACATCATTCTGAGTGAGGTTAGCCTGGCCCAAAAGACCAAAAATCGTATGTTCTCCCTCATATGTGGACATTAGATCAAGGGCAAACACAACAATGGGATTGGACTTTGAGCACATGGTAAAGCGAGAGCACACAAGGGAGTGGTGAGGATAGGTAAGACACCTAAAAAACTAGCTAGCATTTGTTGCCCTTAACGCAGAGAAACTAAAGCAGATACCTTAAAAGCAACTGAGGCCAATAGGAAAAGGGGATCAGGAACTAGAGAAAAGGTTAGATCAAAAAGAATTAACCTAGAAGGTAACACACATGCACAGGAAATCAATGTGAGTCAATGCCCTGCATAGCTATCCTTCTCAACCAGCAAAAACCCTTGTCCCTTCCTATTATTGCTTATACTCTCTCTACAACAAAATTAGAAATAAGGGCAAAATAGTTTCTGCTGGGTATTGGGGGGAGAGAGGGAGGGGGCGGAGTGGGTGGTAAGGGAGGGGGTGGAAGCAGGGGGGAGAAATGAACCAAGCCTTGTATGCACATATGAATAATAAAAGAAAAAAAATAAAATAAAAAGCAGTGTGGGCAGTCCAGTATGAAATGAAGCTATGAACTCCAAACATTAACAAGTCTAGTTAAATAAAAACATTTCTCTACTCATAACACTTGTGACACCAAATATGTGGGGTTCCCACACCAATGACCAATTCTGGAACTCTGCAGTCATCTACTGGGTGTCTTACAACTACCTGGACCCCACAAGAATTCAGTCCCACAAAACTGTCCCCACTTCAGACGTCTGTTACGAGTCTCCGTTTGGTAATTTTGACCAACCTGGCCTTAAATTGGGGGTTCCTTTAACCCCCTCCTCAGGTTTGATAGTTTACTTGACTATTTGCTCATACTTCTCAGGGAAACATTTTGTTGTCGCTGGTTTGTTATAAAGGATCCGGATGAAGAGGCACATATGACAAGGACAGCAGGGTCCTGAGCAGAGTATCTGTCCCCTAGACTTCAGGAGGTGCCACCCTTGCATGTAGGTACATTCATGAAGCTGGAACCTTCCCAAACCCTGTCACTTAAAGCTCTTTTCAGAGAGTCTATCCCATAGACAAGATTAATTAAGTCAACCTCAGCTCCCGTGCCCTCTCTGG